TTTGGGAATAATGAGGGCAACAAATGTATAGATGTGCTTTACACAATTGATCTATGTATTGTGATGAAATGTATGAGCCCCAATAAATTGATTTAAAAAAATGATTAGAAACATGCATACAGAACAGGAATATCGAATACAGTTCTTTTTGCAACAAGGAAACAAGGAAGCATCCCTTGTGTGAAGGTAACTAAAACACACACACACACACAACCAACCCTACTTTACCTACAGGGTCAACTTTAGTGGCAAGAAAGTGCTTTGGTGGGTGGGCTGGTGCAGAGGGGAGGTCAGGGCTGAAGGATGACACATCGTCTCTCCAGCAGGGTGAAAGAGGGTTTAGCTCTGGACCCCTGCCCTGTGGGGATCAATTGGACTCATTCTCAGCCCCTTCCCAGTATGGTCTCTGTGGAGAGACTCCTAACAGAGCAGAGTGGGCATGTCCCATCAGCAGCCTCCCAGGGAGACAAGCACACACACAACAGTCCCAACGGTCTTGTTACAACACCAAATCCAAAAGAATTCCACTCACAAGGAGCTGTATTTCAGAAAGAAAAGCATTTATCCGGGCTCAGCAACCACAAAAAACCTTTCCTCGGTGTCTCGGTTTTCAGGCCTGTTCCTGAGATTATTTGGGGCGGTGATTCAGAACATGGCATCAGCTCTAGTTTAGCTCTAGTTTCTGAGATATCTGTTCCCCTATATTTTTAGCTATTAAGTTATACCATAAATATTAATTTATCATCTTAGTTTTAAATATGAGATGGATTCAGACTCACAAATTATAGGCTGAGGCCCAAAAGGTAAGAAATGGTTGAAAAAGAATTAGGTCTTCAGGGGGTTTCAAGAGGACCCACATGGCTAGTTGGTTAGGCATTGAGCTGCTAGTAATAAGATCAGTGGTTCAAACCCACCAGTCACTCTGAAGCTTTTTAAAAGATTCAAGGGTTTGGGAACCCAAAGGGGCAGTTCTGTGTCCTATAGGATCACTATGAGTTAGAATCAATGAGATGGGAGAGGGTTTTTCCTTTGGGTATAGGAAGCTGTGCAATATACAGAAAGACTACAAGTTACTGCAAAGCCAAATAGACAAGTTGAGCAGAGTAGAAAATCAAAAAAAAATTGCAAAGGTACATATTTAAAAGGAATATGAGGGCAATTTAGATTGCCTAAAATGTAAGACTTGATAGCAATTTTCATAAATACTTTGATAAAGTTTTCTTCTTCAAATTAGCAGTAAGCATTTCGGAACACATTTTGATCTATAGAAGTCAGTGGATAGGTCAGGTTCAATGTTTCAGAGGTGAGGATTACTCCAAGCTTCTTTATAAGAAAAATTTTAATTGTTAAAAACTTCTGTGCACAGGTGGAGAAGTTTAGCTGTCTTACAACAAGACTGGAACCTCTTAACTTTAAAAAAGGAGTTTGAATTCTGACAGACCCATTTTGGGTTTCAGAACATTTGAATCTCTATTTGTGCAGCAAATTTATTCTGTTAAGTCTCATAGTAATCCTATAGGACAGAGTGCAACTTCTGTGGGTTTTCTGATGCCGTAATCATAGGGGAACAGAAAGTTTCATCTTCCTCTTGCAGAGCGACGGATGGGCTTGAATTGCTGACTGTGGTTAGCAGGCAAACACATACCCCACCGTGCATCACGGCTCCTTATTGTACAGTAACTGTAATTTCTGACCCCTTTTTAAGACAACACATTGGAACTGCCTGCTATTCAGTTCCTAATAAAGGAGACATCATCCTTGGGGAAAATTCCAAGTTCATGTAATATGTACTGTTCAGCTTTGGATCAAAGGTCACCATGTGAAGTATAGGTTGACCTAAATATTTAGCACAACACAAACTACTTCAAATACAGCCAGCATGCACTTCCTCTATCTCAGTCTAGCTAACACTACATTACAATATCCTGAGTCTTTTCTGGGTGAGCAGAGTAAAGAGTGGTATATGGCATATGCTCTGTCTCTCAGAAACGAGAGCTGATAAGGGGAAAGCTGTGCCATTGTTGAAATCAGCAGGTCAGTTACACCCAGAGCAAGTCTAATATTTGAGGCACTAAAATATCCCCCCCCCCC